AGATGCTTCATTGGGGTCAGAAAGTTGGGGAGAAAGACCAGCTGCAATGGAGTCTTATCGGGTGCATATATAACTTCTGCAAATTCAGGAGGGAAACAGGAGTTAACAGCTATGTCCTCTCCCTTGGTTCCTCTCAGTTCCTCCAAGAATTTTATGTGGATAGTGATTCCGTTCTTTGAAGGTATGCATCTTTTTATACAAATTGTCCATTTATGAAGCCAACATATAGTAGATGTTCTGGGCCTTAGAGGCCAGTCTGCCACAACTGTTCAGCCCTGCAGTTGTAGCTCTATAACACCCATAGGCAAATGAGTGTGTGGCTGTGTGTCAATAAAACTTTATTAACAAAGACAGGTAGCACACTGGATGTGACCAGTGGGCAACAGTATTCTGATCACTAATTTGTGACCAAAGTTTATTGAATCATGACCCTCCTTTTTAAAAACAAAATAAAAAGATTTATTAAACAGTTAATATGAAATTTAAACGTGTCAAAATAGAATTGAAAATCATGTGAAGACTGCAGGGCAAGTATAAATCACTCACCTTCAAACCCATCACTTTCCAGGTGTTGCCTCTTTGTCACCCCAAGGAGAGAGGACAGATCTGGCAAGTTGTGGAAATTTCCTATCTTTGGTTGGAATGGAAAAGTATGGCTGATGTTGGAAAGCCTAGGTTTTGAAAAGCACAGCAAGACAATTTAAAACACTAAGGTTCACTCAACTAAGCTGAGTGCAAGAACAGTGAAGCAGATATGAGACCACAGGTGCCTCTGAGAGCTGATGGTGGGAAACAGCCTTTCACAGAGCATTGGCAGAGGATGCCAGTGATGCCTGCCGAGGCCCACCGCCAGAGCTTCAAACAAGCGCTCACTTGCTAGGGACAGCTCAGGTGTGGCCCAGGGTGGCCGGTCCACCCGAGGCTGCAGCTCCATGTGACGAAGGCAGAAGGGTCAGCTGCCTGTTGGTGTCTTTAGAGCCTTTGGATTCACCCAGGGTGCTCTCTAGTTTGTTCTGATCCATTGCCTGAACATGGTACAGGCTTTGAAGGTAAGCAGTGACTGAGCAGTTAACCAGTTATAAACAGGTGGGTGAGCTATGATTCCCCTGGATGAGCACTCCATCGCTAATATTTACTTAGGTGTTTTTTTTTTTTTAGTGCGTGTTTGCATAATGATTACTTTCATCATACAGTTTGGTACATGTACAGAACACATCTTAATTCTTTTCACCTTTTCTGTACTCCCTTCTCCCCACATTTCCATCTCTAAATCTCTCCCCATTTGCAAAATATCTATCTTCCTCTTTCCTAGTACCCAACCTTTATTTGGCTGTTTATTTGCATTTTGGGTTTTCTATATAAGAGAAACAATGCACTTTTTAAGAGTCTATGTCTTGAGCTGGAGATTTAGCTCAGTGCTGCCACTGCCTGACTTGCAAGCAAAATGTCCCAAGTTCAGTCCCTGGTACCAAAAAGAAAAAAGATTGCATGTCTGATTAATTTCACTTAATATTAAGATCTCAAAAGGGCATCCATTTTCCTACAAATGACTCACCTTTATTCCTTCTGGCAGAGTAGTACTCCATACCATAATTTCTTTATCCATTCATCTGGGGATGGATGTATAGGTTGCTTCCAGATTTCACTATTATGAATTGTGCTGCTACACATGGGTGTGCATGTACCACTATAATATGGCATCTTTAACATTTCCCAAAAAGGTATCTAGAAGGAGCACAGCTGGGTTGGATGGAATTTCTATTTTTATGGTTTTGAAGAATCTCCACACTTATTTCCTTAGAGGCTGTATTTTGTACTTTCCCACAACTATGTAGAAGGGTTCCTCCCCCACCCCCACCTTACCAGCATTTGTTATTATTTGATTTCTCAATGACAGGCATTATTTTTGGAGTAGGATGGAATCTTAGTGTTCTTTTATTATGCTTGTCTGTAATGGCCAGAGATACTGAATATTTTTTCGTGTGTGCTTTGGCCATTTGAACTCCTGAGAAGTGCCTGTTTATGTCATGCCCATTTTTTGATTGGATATTTTGGGCTTGGTGGATCTAATTTTTTTGAGTTCTTTACATATTCTAGATATTAGTCCTCTGTCAGAGGAGTAGCTGATAAAATTCTCCCCCATTCTATAATTTGTCTCTTTACTTTGCTGATTGTTTCCTTTGCTGGCAGAAGTTTTAAATTTGATATAATCCCATTTGTTGATTTTTTTCATTTGTTGATTCTTGATGTTATTTCAGTTGGATTCTGTTCAGAAAGTCCTTGCCTGTGCCTATGTTTTCAAGAGCTTTACCTATTTTGTCTGCCAGCAGATTGTTTGTTTTAATATTTTAGTCTTTGATCCACTTTGATTTTATTTCAGTACATGGTGAAAGATACTGATCTAGATTCAGTCTCTGCATTGCATAACCAGTTTTTCCATTTATTAAAGAAGCTGGCTGTCTTTCCTCCAGCGTATGGTCAAAGAGGTAGCTGATTGTGCCTGGAGTTGTCTCTGCATCCTCTCTTCTGTTCCATTGATCCTCATGTCTGTTTTTGTGCCACTACCATGCTGTTTTTATCACTGCCTCTTTTTAATATAACTTGAAATCGGGGATTGTGATGCCTCATGTTTCCTTCTTTTTTAACCTAACATCTATTTATAGCCTTAGCTTTCTAACTTTGAATTCAAATATCAGAGAGCTTTGACTTTTTGTGAATGGTGCTGCAGGTTGGTGACATGTAACAGATCATCACTTTCCTGGTGCCTGGATTGTCATTGCTGTGATACCAGAACTAATCATTTAGTGGATGTTGTTAGCTGCTCTCAAAATTCATATTGAATCCCTAGTCCCTAGTACCTCACAATGTAACTGTGTTTGAAAATAGAGTTTTAACAAGGTGATTGGATGAATGGGGCTGTTAAATCGAGCCCTAAAATAATCTGATTGATTCCCTTATGAAAAGAGCAAATGTAGACATAGAAAGAGACACTGGGGCTGTGTGCATGGAAGAAAGGTCGTGTGAGGAGGCTGCAGGAGGACAGCCATCTGCGAGCCAAGAAGAGAGGCTGCAAAGGATGCCACCCTTGCCAACCCTTTGATCTTGGACTTCCAGCCTCCAGAATTCTATTGTTTAAGCCACCTAGTCTGTAATATTTTGTTTGGCGACCCTAACAAACTAGCACAGTGGAGGATCCAAAGTCACAGGCCCTAATTCATTGAACCCTTGAATTTCTTTGTACTTCTTTAGTACCTAATATCGCAAGTATCTTTTACTGTGTTTTATGGGTGAAACGATGTGCTCTAATCGCATTTGCATTGGAGATCTTAGGATATACTCTCCGTTCCTGCTGAGTCATAGGATGGATTTCCATGACACTCTCAGTTCAGTTCTCTTCTTCTCCTTTGTTTCCTTCCAATTACTGTCCTCTTTTTTTCTACTCCTGGCCCTCAGGTTTTCGGATAGATGCATGTTTCCTTATTGCAGATAGGAAGTTGATGTCCATGGGCCATGGGAAAGCTTCTTAGCTGTGTGTAATGTCAGACAATATATCTCATTTCCCTGACTCAATTTTCTCATCTTCGTAGTACGGTAATACCTACATCTACATTTGGAGTTCTTGGAAGTATTAGTGCCATTATAAGTACCGGCGTACTGTATGCCTTATGACCAGCATTCAATAAATGATAGTTATTCTAGGGGTCAGGAAGTATCTGTTGACTTCTCTTTCTTCTAGTCCTGGGATCTGAGTTGGCAAAAGCTGTGCAGTCTTTGGTAGAAAAGTAAGGGTGTGACTAGTTCCTTATATGTGTATGTAATACTAGATGCTACTTGGTGTATCCATATATGGAAGGCTTAACCCCTTGCGGAGTTTTTATTCCCTGGTGGACACAGACAGATGTGGAGATCTTGTGTAATAAAGCTAAAAAATGGACTGGGTCATTTCAGGGCCAGCTTTGGCCTGTGTTACCTTTTGCAACCAGCCAAGCCATTACTCCCTCCTCATGTCTACCCTCTATGAACACCAGTTCTCACTGTTTAAAATCCAGTCTGTTGGCATTTTGATGTTTGATTTAAAAAGCCTAACATAAAACTTGCCTCCACTAGCTTTGGGAGATTGAGGTAAACAAACTATTTTTTTTCCCCCGGAAACAGTCTCTGGTTTCCTTCTAAAAGGATCCTGAAAACATGTTGCCCTCAATAAGCTCCCACCCTTCACCGTTACGTTCGTTGCAGCTGTGCCCTTCCAATGCTGAGTTCCTGCTAAGAGAGAGACTTGGCATGCGGTGTCGGTAAAGGGAGTGAGACAAATGTGTCTGTGAAGGAATCCGTCGGTTTCCTTCCGCCTCGTGCGCCGCCATATTGCGGGGGGGGCCTCTAGGGGGAAGGATGGGGTGGGGAGGTGCTGTGAGGGCTGCAACAGGAGTGGAAAGTAAGGACCAGCTCTGCTGCTCCCCCACCCCTCATTGTCCAGTTTTTGATGAGAGAGAAGCACGCATCGTGACTGAAGCAGGGCTTCTAAGGAAAAGCTGGGTTTTTCTCTTTTGTAGAGGGAATGATGAATATACATATAAATAAGGCACAACACGCATACAGAATTTCAGCAGTATTCAAGACGTGTTTAATTCTTGCCATCCCTGACATCTGTTAAGAACCAGAACTGGGCCCACAGCCCTGGTTCCCATAACCCTAAGACCCTGCAGCCTGAGGTGATGCCTCCCCGAGTCCTCTCTTCCACTCTGTAAACCTCCATCTTAGGACTGGTTTCAGGTAACCTGGAGCTCATCAGAATGTCCTTCTACAGAGGCAGAGCTCAAACACGACGTATCCAACGGCATGCATCTTCCGAGAGCCAAATGGTGTCTCGTCTTCTGTAGTTAAGGAGTGCAGCCTGTGTAGTCTAAAGCTCGCCTAATTAGGTACATTTCCAAAACTGTGATTAAACTGTAGCCAGCTAGGGGAACACTGGAAATAAATTAGAAGTGTCACTGGTGTGAGATTTGTAGTCCTTCCCAAGTGCCTCCTAAAAATGAAGGAGCTGCTCTCTGTGTTACAGGCTTTGATGAGGAATCCCAGGGAGAGAATGAGTGAGAGAAAAAGATGACATCTGTGCGGACCAAGCAGAATCTGAAGATTACTTCTGCGAAAACAGAAGAAAGCAGGAGAACACTTAACAGTTAAAGGTGAGTGCGTGGTTGTATACGCGCAAAAGCCTTTGATGAGTTACGACGGGAAAGTGGGTTCGTGTGTGTTTGTGTGTGGGCCCACGTTTTGTTGGGGAGCAGGCAAGGGATGGGATACATGGCAGGACATCAAAACGTGAGTTCCTGCAGCGAGGACGGACATCAGCAACACGGCTCCTCCCTTGAGTTTAAGTAAAAGCCAAACACCCAAAAGTAGACATCTATTTTGTAGACGCTCTCTTCCTTGAGAGAAAGGCAAGTGAACAAATGGCAAATACACAATGTGCAAATTATAGTGCGCCTGAGACAGATTCTGACGGTACATTTCTAATATTGTATATACACACACGTGAAATCACTTCTGTTTTATTCAGTGAAACCCACAATCGGCATTAGTCCAGTAGCAGCTGAATAAAGCTATGGTTAATTATATTTATGCATGCAGTGATTTTCATCCTTCACTTAACTGAAATAAGTTGTGCTTTGCGTCTTTCGTATTGTGATAATTGGTACCCCCCCTTCCATTTTTTGATATAGTAAGAAGGGAAATGAAATATTTGAGCAGCTGAGCCTCGATATGACAATTCTATAGAACTCTAACCTAGTTAGAACTCTAACTCTAGTTAGAGTTGTAGCGAGTTAGTATTGTAGCGAGTTAGTATTGTAGCGAGCCCTACAATACGGCAGTGCAAATGTTTCTCTGTGAACTGGTCTCAGAAGTTTGCATTTGACAGAGGTGCTTTGAAGGGTAATGAGATGAAATGTGCAACAGTGTGCATTGGGCATCAGTAAAGTGTCCAGCGGTGAAGGACAGCATTGACAGCAATCTTCCTAAAATGCTTCCTTGAGCAGAACTAGCAGTGGGAGTGCCGTTCTTCTCATTAGGCCCTGCTAGGGAGATGTGTGCCCGGCAGTTACAAATGTGGACTCTGGAGATGCTCGTTCTACCTCTTATCCCTTTTTCACTGTGAACAAAATGGTCCATGGCCTCGGTTCACTGGGAGATGTGGCCGTATGGGTGCCAGCTGTAGAGGGTGGTTGTGTAGACAAAATGAGGTGATGTAGGCAGTCCTTGGAAGAATGCCAAGCACGTGAAAAGTGCTCAGTAATTGTGATCTGACTTTATCAGCGAATAAAGTACCCTTGGGGGTGGAAAGTTTCAGTTGTCTGTTTTAAGGGAGATAAAAATGTCGAAGAGCATAAATAATGTTGGAGGGACGGAAGGTGGTATTTCTGTGACTCTACACGTAATGGCACTGTTCGTCTGGCCATCACTGGGAAGTGACAGGAAAACTGCAGGTCAGTCAGGGCTTTTCTCAGACACTTACGAACTTTCACCGTGATTCAAGTTCTCAGAGGACTGTTGAAGATACAGATTTAAATCACACAAGGTCTCTCAAACCACAAGTCGAGACGTCTCCAAAGGCTTTGCTGTACCCTTCCCCAGCCTCACCTCCAAGGGTCCCCAAGTTCTTTCTCCCTGGCTCCTAGGCCCTCTGACACATGAGCTCTTGTCCACTGGGAGCCTTCGTGTACACTGACAGTGGAGCTGGATTTTCCCCTGCCCTGGACCTGCTCTGCTGTGTTGGTCACTTTCAGAGTGCTGGAACAGAACACCTGATATTTGCAGCTCAAAGGGGGAGAGGTTTCATTTGGCTCCCAGTTTAGGGGGCAGAGGTCAATCCATAGTCAGCTGGCTCCAAAACAGAAACAGCATGTGGAAGGGCATGTGGAGGAAAGCAGCTCACCCCAGGGCAGCCAGGGAGCACAGGGTGAAGGAAGGAGAGGGAGGGAGACTGACCCTTTGAAGGCAGGACACACTCCTTCCAGTCAGACCCCACCTCCTAAGAGCGCGTTCAGGTATGAATTCATCAGTGGGTCTGCAGAGTACGGCACCCCATGATCCAGGCACCTTCCGAAAGCCCATCCTCTAAACACAGGAGACCTTTGGAGGACGTTTTAGATCTAAACCCTAACGGCAGCTTTTCCTTCCACTCTCATAGGTGTGCGCCTACAAGCCCAGCGCTCTGGGAGGCACAGCTAGGAGGGTGGCAAGTTCAAGCACATCCTAGGCAACATAGCGATTTAGCGAGACACTGTCTCAAGATAAAAGTTAAAAAAAAAGGGGCTGGGGACGAGCTCAGCATGAAGGCCCCAGGTTCAGTACGTGTACTACAGAGCAAAAGACTGGGAACACAGATGCGCACACATTCACACATTACAGTCTGGAAAGATGCTCTCAAATTGCTGATGCGACTTCTGTCAAACAGATGGAATTAGGGGGAGAGGAGGAAAGAAGCAAATGTCCTTATGCTTGTGTACTTTTCTTTTCTCACAGTGAACATGCATTTTCAACCTTTCAAAATTGATGGATTTGAAGTCAATAGGACCTATGGTACAACTTGAGAGTTGAGATGCTTTTCTAGTTTGTGCAACCAAAAAGTCCTGAAAAAACCTGTTCACAGCCGTATTTGCTTACAGCTATGATCCCTGTGCAAAGTTTAACTGAGAGTGAACATTTCATTATAATTTAAAACGAAAGTAGTTCTTTCCATTCTAGATTAATTTTGTGGAAAACAGTTTCTCGATCTGGTAAGATTTTTTCCTCCCCCTAGCTCTCTCTCATAATTTTTTTAAGAGTGGGAAAAATTTATTGAGGGAAAGAAAGACACAAAGGGGACCAGAAAGTGGGTTGCCCACTCACCCCACTTTTCAAAGATGTTTTATACAGCAAAGCCATGACCAGCCAGTAAGATTACACGTACAGTCACCCAGGTAATATTGATTAAATGGGGGTCAAATGGGGGAGCAAGTCAGGTAGCAAGCATACAAGGATTTTCAGTAAGGCTGGGGGTCAGGGATAGTTCCTGGAAAGGCTGGGCTAAGACTTTGCCCCCGCCCCAGGTGATTAATACCTATTTATCAATCACTGCTATTTATCCCCAGGGGAAGCACAGAGTTATAGTAGTTTCTCTCCTTTTATAATTCTGGCCTTCAGTGAATGTGTCTTGATTGTCCTCCATGTTGGCTCCTTCCTGTGTTGGCCCTTGAGGGCAGGTGGCCCCGTCTAATTACCTACAAGATATCTAACTAACTTACCTATCTGCATGCAAAATTCCCCCCTCTGAAGAAGTACCCCTAACTGCTGTGAGGGGATGAAGGGCGAAAACAGCTCTGGCTACTTCCAGCTGAAGAGGGTCATAGTTGTGATCAGCAGTGAGAGGAACTCTACAGAGGGTCTATCTGAAGGCCTTCGGTAGGTACCTGGCATTGTCATCCTGGTAGCTGCATAGCTTTTAAATCTGAAGGAGACAAAGACAAAGAAACAGTTAAGAATGCATGGGCCAGATTATAAGGTCAACAGGATTGCTATGAATATAGCCCACAAAGAGGAGAAGGAGAAGGTCCAGGGGACTTCAGAATCCGACACAGAAGTTATATTGTACAGTTTAGCAGTTATGAGCTATTTACAAGGTCGATCTGGTGGATCCCAGTAAAAGAAGTCTAGCACATTTGTCATTGGTTCCTTTTGTATGACCGCTTGGAGTTTGGCAGCCTCTAGGCAAGAATAAACAAAACTTTTAAGAAATTAGAGAGATTAAAGGGCAAGTTGGGGAGAAAGTCACACTTAGAAATTGAAGTAGTGATTGAACCTGCTGGACTTAGATTCTTTCATTGATAGAAGCTGACACAGGTCTCACTTTAACTTGCTCCTAAGCACCCAATAGAAAAGAATAACCAAAAGAGGTATGAAATAATGCCATAGTAATAAAGCTAGAGATAAAAAGGGGCTCCAGTCACTGACCCCTTCTGGCAGTTTCCAGCTCTACCAGGAGCTGACCATGGTTATGGATCCTTAGGAAAAAAACTGTGGTAAATTCGCTAAGAGCTCAGCTAGAGGTTTGTATTTCTTAGCAAAATTTATTCTTCAAATTGTCTCTTATCTTAGAGCTAAAACTAGAGAAATTTATGACAAAAGTATGAGTCTCTTGCCTAATGTACTACAAAGTAAGTTACTTCTATTTGTAGTTATTTGGATAAGTATCTAAGCCATGTTAGTTATTAAAAAACAGAAAAAACTGGCCACAGTATCAGAACACCTTGAGGTTTTTATGTATAATAAAAGATTTCTAAAACCCTCATAAAGTTATAAGAAAACTCTTTGTAAGAGTTTAAACCATATAATGTGATCATAAATTTGTGTAAGTAAAGAGAAATTGTGCCAGGCTGCACACAGCAAAGTGGTCTTGTTGGCGACTTAGGAGATTACTTGCCAGATGGCATCAGATGAAAGGAGATTATTCTTTATATACTATGTATTATTGAAGTATTAAATTGTTAGAGTCTTTTCTTGACAGCTTCTGAGGTATAAATGACCTGTAACAGAGTACAATACGTCAAGTGTGCAATGTTATATATTTCACCCCTTCCTCCTATCTGCCCCAGCCCTCCTCCTGCTGCAAAAGATGACTCTTATTTTTGAATTTTTCTCATTAAAAGCTTTTATTTTATTTCAGAACTAACGCAGGATTTTTGAAAAACATTCAGGCAGTAAAAAAGTGTTTTGTGCTGTTGAAAAGTAAAAGTTCTTATCATCCACCCCTCAGTTTTTTCTGCGAATCATATTTCCTTAATTACAAAATAGGCAACAGACATGTGTGCCTTTTTCCCCCTCTTCAAAGCAAGAAATAATTTTGAAATCATCAAAGATGCATATGCATACAGGAAAGCCACAAGGTCCAAATAGTGCCTGGATTACTATCTTGTGCTCTTCTCAGAGAAGTCTTCCTGAAAGGCATGAAAAGATGTTCAGTGCACCACTAATGCATTTATTAACGCACCATTAGACAAACGCAAACTAAACCAAGCTGAGATACCACCTCACATCCTCGAGAATCGCTGCTTGTTATCAAAATGGAAACAAAGGAAAACATCAGGTGTTGGTGAGGATGTGGAGAAATGAGAATCCGTGCACACTGTTAGTGGAGATGTAAAATGAT